CCTGATTGAAAAGACAGGCTGTGACAGCCTGATCTGAATGCACCTTCATTTCAGAAATAACAACCAGGTATCTGCAAGTCAGCTGGAATAATAGCTGGGAGAAGTGGGGAAGGCAGCACGGCTCTGAGCGGGGTCAGCAGCTTCATGCAGTTTCCCATCTCATGCTGCCTTCAGCTTCCATCTCCCTACTGTTGGATGAATTTCTTTGCTTGCAGATAAATCCTATTGCCACAACCTATTGCTTACAGCTGTTCTTTCTGGCTGGTCCTGCACAGCTTTGCTTGATTGCCTCCTTCTACTGCCAGAACATTCAGGTTTGGGGCTGGTTCCCATGAAGTTGCAGTGCTGGAGGATGTTTGCCTTGTTTAGGGCACTCACGTTAACCTAAGCCTGTTGGGGTCCTGCCGCTCCTGTTGAGCAGCTCCATGCTCAGTTTGATAAGCACCTTCATGCTGCCACCTTCAGGATTGGGGTCTGGGCTTTGAGTCACCCTGAGACCAGCCACAATTGGAAGGGGTGAATGGCCCTGCTGAAACTAGTGGAATGCCTCACGTCTCCAAGTACCCTCCCTCACTTGGTCTGAGCAGCAAAAGCACTCAGTGGTAAGTGGCTAAAAGGCTTTGAGTTGACAACAGGTATAAGAGATGCTGCTCCCCTAAAAAAGGACCTGCTTTCCCCCTCTCTGGGATGGCAGCACAGCCCTTATTGCTGTCCCTGTGTGCAGAAGCAGCTTCCACCCCTTTGGATCCCAGGTTTTGCCTCCCTGACATGTAGACCCCAGTGCTACAGCTGCCACTTGGCTCTTTATCACAGGAGCTCATTTCCCTTGTTACTGGGCTCTACCAGGTCTCCCACTCAGTGTCTGTCAACAGTTTCTGCAATGGAAGCATCACTTTTTGGTTCATAGCTTTGGCTTCTCTGTCATTCAGAAAACCTCATGTTAGCAGGCTCGGCTGTAACTGTTACCCAGCAATTGGGTACCAGATGCCCACTGATATTTATACTTTTGGGTTTTACTGTACTATTTGTGCCTCACCCAAAGATCTCTTAGGAAACCCCACTTTTCAGCAAATATATCCATCATTGTGCAATATTTAGTAATATAAATCAGCTGGGTCCAAACAATCTTTATGTCAAATACTTCACTGCCACTACATTGAATTAAAGTGGTACTAGTAAATAACAAATAAGCAAAGAATTTGCTAAGCTGCATGTGTAAGTACAGGGAGCTTTTTCAGACAGAGCACTTTCTTTTCCCAGCAGTAGCACACTATCTCCTAGTCCTGCAGAAAGGCTGAGCCAATCCTTTTCTCAACACCTGGACAGGTAAATGGAATGCAATAGAGGACCTGCACCGCAACTGAATTTGTGCCATCTCAAGCCCAATGCCAATCAAAATCAACCACCAGAAACATGCATCGAAGGATCAAGGTCCAGATCCTGCTCAGTGATGAATCTAAACCTCCTTTGGTTCAGTAGGGATATGCTGGATTTACCTACATGTAATCTAGAGCAGATTTTGGACCCTGCTCATGAGCATTATGCCTTTTGCTACAGGAAGGAAGATTGTTTCTGACCTTGCTTAAACTAAGCAGCTTTAATCGTTCAGTATGGAAACCAAGACTGGGTTGGGGGGTGGGGACACAGACATGAGAATCCTATAATCTTTGGTTAAATTGTAATGAAATTGTCCAGGATGAGAAGGAAACAGATGGATTCTGATTAATTTCTCACAAGTGTAGACCTCAGCATCCGATGTAACATATGTGGTGAGCAAATGTCACTCATGCCTCCAAAGTGCAGAAAAAAATCACTATTGTCAGGATATATTCATTGGCATATTGGCTGCTGAACTCCCAGGGGTATAAAGATGCTGTGCATTACATTAAGTCCTGAATTAAATATTCAGAGGCAGAGATACCTAACCCTTTCCTCTATGCCTCACTGGTTATCGCAGTTGAACTTAATGAATTGAAAGAGGGAGGGAAAGGGAGATTTTTTCCCCCCTCCTTTGTAAATCGTTATTTACTGTGAAAGGAATATCAAGATGGCTTGATATTTCTGCTTTACAGAGTTCATTTGACAAGCAATACAGCCTGAGTTAGGGAAAATAATGCAGCTTTGAGCTGTAAACGAGCAACTACACTACTTTGATCTCATGCTGATAGAAATCAGAGGCCAGCTCTGTGTTTGTGCAGTTGTTCTGGGTTTTGTCACTTCTATAATCTATTTCATGTAATTGCATATTTAAAGAAAAAAATGATGTTCATTTATTGATTGCCACTCTATTGTTTAAGGCAGGTGAGATAAGAGGCCAGAGCTGCTTGCTCCTGTCTTCATGTAGTCTTAGGAAGTGGAAGAAGCTATGCATGTGAGTAAAGTGAGGCCCCATCTGTGCCAAGGAAAGAGATTCATTACAGCTGACTTGTCCTGTTAGAATTACTGCCCCAGACTGTTTCTCGGGAAAGGATGTCACTAAGATATCTAATAGAGTATTTCATCACCAAAGTTGGGAAACAAATATCGAGCAGTGGGGCTCCAGTGTAGCTCAGGCTCTGCACCCTTCTTCCACTCAACCTTCTGCAAAGCCAAGCAATGTGTATGTTAGTGTCTTCTCTTCAAAAATTAATTCCTCATTAGAAAAAGGGGGGGGGGAACATAGGTATTTTGTTCTCTGTATGTTGAAATTCTGTCTACCTTAAATTACTTGTACATTTCCCTCTCCCCTTTTGGTGAACACTGCTCCAGCTCACATCATGGGCTGGTTCGTTTGTCTTAATGATCTCCTTCTTCACAAGTGAATGTGTATCTTCTTTTGGGGAGCAGAATCACCTCAAAAGGAGCTTTATTTCTGATTGAGGAAGATGTAGCTGATAGGTCTGGGGAAAAGCTGAGACATCCATATTAGCTGCTGTCGTAAGCTGGCTGAAGCAAGCTCCCTCACTCTTTCTCATGCAGCATTTTGTTTTGTTCTAAATTGAAGATGCAGCAAATCTCAGTAATAGCTGGGACTGTACTAAACGGCACCCACCTGCTAAAGTCATAACCTTCATTTTAATTAAAAGCCCTAGTTTTGGAAACTTGACCTGAGATTCTTGTTTCTCTTCTTGACCATTTAATATTGCGACCTGTGCTGGCCTACAGGCTCCTCTTGTCTTGTGAAGCTCAGCAGGATTCTGACTTCTTCGCTCATTAGAGAGAACTAGTAGTCTCTGTGTTTAAATCCTTAAGATTTCTAACAAGACAATCAGACTCTGATTCCTCAGGATGCTGGTATGCAGCTGAGGGTTGGTTTTGCTGAAATTCCTGATTTTTTTGCTGAAACTGGTTGTTTCCAACAGATTTCACCTGCCATTGCCTTAATTATGCGCCAGAATTGAGGTTACAACTTGTGCATCTGTAACCTTTCTGAACAACAGTGTTATCCTTTGTCAGCTGGAAACTTCTGTTCACTTTGTCAGTTTTTAACATGATTCCTGGCGATGCATCACTTGTAGTTCCCTCCATGAAGCTGTTGTCAGTGCAAATGGGACTAAGCTTGATCATTGCTTACTGCATCGAGACTGCACAGGGCAAAATCGCATCAATCCCCCGCTGATCTCCAAAATCACTGAAGAAAATCAGACTGGATCTTTTCCCTTGTTTTATCACATGGCAGTGGAACTTCCTCAAAAGAGTCCCCTCCTTTGCTGTCCTAGAAGCTGTGCTGGGACTCCTTGGCCCATAAGGGTGTTGACACTGCAAAGCTACATCAGGCTATTTTGACCCAGCTTGTGTTGTGTGAAAACCTCTGAGGCTCATGATGCCATCCCAGCTAAACACCTGGTTTGCTGAATGAACCTACCCACTGCTCTGCTTGGCAGAGGTTTTTGTGGATAGCCAGGGAAGCCTGAAGCCACAAGAAGAGGTGAAGTCAAGGAGAGAGGTGGGAGATGGATTTATAGGGAAGATGAAATGATGGGCAGGGAGATTTCTATTAATTAATTGCAAAGCTGTGGAGAAAAGGAATATACAACCAACACAGAAATAGCTTGTGGCAAAAAACAGCTCCCTAAATCAGGTAACTGAGAAGATACTCAGCCAAGTGAAGCCATTTTCAAGGTGCAGCATGATGAGGATGGGACCTGAGTGCCTGTTGCCTTCGTCTCTTGAGCTAAGGCATCTCACATGAAAGTCCCAAGTGCTGCTTCTTGTGCACGACAAACCAGTATAGATATTAAATTGGGGCATAATGATGAATGAAACTGTGGGATGTGTCATGATTATCCCAGGTTTCTAATGTATAATTGAATTATTTTAGTGAGTATATTTCAAGCCCTTTGATTTCTGGCCTCAGTTTTTAATTACTCAGCCCCCTCTTGCCCTTGTGCATTATTATGCTACTCATTAGCATTCAGTGAGACTACAGAAGTTTGACTTCTGAATAAAGTAGCATACAAAGAGAAAGGATGCTTTTTATCCTACCACTTAATAATTTAAATGGAACTCTTTTCTTTAATCAATGTTTAATAGTACAATAGTTGTTTATTTAAACTGCACAATGCTGGATTTTGCAAACAAAAAAGAGAGGAAGGATAAATATGTTTAGAAATAATGAGCTTTGTAACCATTGTAATCTTCAAATGGTTTAGAATATCCACAGAACTCAGAATGTCTGTTCCTCTCCATGAGATGGTAACATGAGCCTCAAATGTATGTGTCGTTTATGCAGCATTAAGTTGTATGAGCCTATTTTTTATTTGAGGGAAGCAGAAAACCTTGCTAATTGCAAAACTGAAAGCTACTCAGCAGCGTTAATATTGTTGGCATGACCGCCAGCTGTGATGATTAGGATGTGTGACAGAGGGAGAGATAATTTGATCACAGGCCTGGGGACTAGAAGCTCTTGCGTCCTGCTCCTTCCCAGCACACCTGCAGAGGTAAGGAAAATACAGGGGGAGATATAGTTTAGCCCCAGAGTGCCCACACTTTTGGGGGCTCCTGGAAACCCATGTGTAACACCAGGTCATGGGAGGGAGCACAGCTCAAGCCTAGGCATTAACTTGTCAGAGGAAATAGCTTTATAGGGGATCTGTAATCGGGTGTGGAAGGCACTGCAGGTGTGATGCTTGTTCTGTGTCAGTAAATTGTGCCTTTGGATGTGACTCATCACTGTGGGCAAGTGACTGGGAGACTAGGACAGGGCAAGATGAGGGGGACCCATAGAGCTCAACATAAAAGAGATGAACTAAAGCAACCGTCCCTCTGCTCAGTTTCCTCATCTGTGAAACAGGAATTGATCAGGGATATCCTGAGGATTTAGCGATATCTGGAGACCGCTTTGGAGGCATTAAAACTAGCAAGCATATTATCTGCATTTCAAAGTACTCTTTGGACATCACTTAATTCATTTTGACAGCAGCTCTGTGCAAGAAATGTGGCTGTCTCCATTGTCTGGATGGGAAAACTGAGTCTAAGAGGCAGACCAAAACAGAGGTGGCTGGGGAAGGAAATGCGAGCACAGGATAGCACTGGGTCAGGGAGAGCTGCGACCTCCTGTCTCCCATGGCTCAGCAGCCTGGTTTTAAGAGCACCCATTGCAGGTGAACTGCTCCATCCACATGTACTTTGGGGTATTGATCCCACATAATCCCTATCTGATGTCCCGGCTACCCTGCTTCCAACAAATGGTTCCCCAGGCAGCAGCACTAGACCTTTTCCCTGCTGATTTGTGTCTCCTGTCTTCTAAATCTTTCTCTTTCCCACCAGTACATCCAATTCTCTCCCTTGTCCCCAGATCTCACAGTCCTTTGTGCAAGCTTGGAGCTCCTTCCCTTATCTGCCATTTCTCTATCCCCTTCTCTAGGCTCACTAGGGGTCTGGAGGCATGTGAAATATCAGGAGCAATAGGCAAGAAGGTGGCAGCTCCACATGTAAGGAATGAGATGAAGAAACATGATCTGCCGGTGTGGGCTTGTTCCCTGTTTTGATTAATTTGTAGCTCTTGTTGATTAAAAAATCACAGCTGAGTTCTGCTAACATGAGATGAGGGAGAGCTAAGGCTGGGGGTTCAGACCCTTCCTTTCAGGCTAAGTGAATTTATCCCGGATGTGAGTGTCTGTTACTGTATTACTAATTTACAAGGAGCTGTGGTGTGAAAGCTGTTGAGACTTCTACCGTTTTTCACATGTGCGCTAGAAAAGTTGCACATGGACAACTTGAAAGGCAATGTGCAACTCCACATCAGCAGCTGATGAGTGATTTCCTGTGACAGAAGTAGCCTGCCCTGTTCTGCAAGGTTCATTTTCAGTGCTTCTTCCTGTTTAAGGAATGTTTGTCCAGGGGGATGATGATTTGTATCACATCAGTGTTTAGGGAATGTAACCAAGATCAGCCTGCCGTTGCACGGAGCTCTACAGTCACTTAGGGTGACTTTGCCCCCTCACAAAGTGGGACTAATCTGTGGTTATTTAAATGCCTGACTCTCACTGAAGGATGTGTTTAGGTATCTCTATCTTTTAAGCAAGCACCAGAGTTATGGGAGAAACTGAGGGTGTAAAGTGAGGTGACAAAGGCAGTAGAGAAAGTCAGCGGCAGAGCAAGAAACAGACTGTTTCCTAGTGGTTACTGCCTGTCGATGTGACCCTGGCTCCGCAGCAGTGAAACACCACCTTTTGCTTTGCCATTTCAACTGAATTTTGGAAGGTGGTAGTTCACTGGGAGCCCGTAGGACTGTAGTGTACGGCAGGAGTGATTGGACACGTGGGAAGAGGCTATGGGGTTGTGGTCCTGACCCTCTGCACCCGTCTCAACTTGCGCCCGTCTCCAAAAGATGCTGCGACCTCCGGCCCGGCTACGAGCTGAAACAACGTCTGCTTTCTCCTCCCTCTGCTGAGCAGCGGCCGCTCGGATGTTGGAATAAGGTGAGGGCTCTGCCAAGCAGTCAGAAGCCCCTGCTGAGCAGGGCGTGCAGCTCTGCTGCGGAGGGAAGGGCGCTCTTCCCTGCAGCACCCTGGCTGCGCGGGGCGGAGGGAGGAGCGGGCCCTGAGCCCCAGCCGCCTTAGCTCCGCGGATTCGTGTGCGGGAGGCAGTGAAGGGAGCGAGCAGGGAGTCCCGTGGAAGGGAAGAGACAGAGAAGCCGCGACACTGTGCTTCCTCCCCCTGTCTCTGAGGAGGAGGAGCGGGAGGGGAGCGCCAGAGCCACTTAGGGCGATGCGCCGCTGCGTGCGGGAGTGAGTCCTTGCGGAGCATCCTCCGCGCAGCCTGAGAGCCGGGTGTGCGCCCGCTTGCCCGAGGAGGATCCCCCCTTCCAACACCCGTGCTGCTGCCTCCTTGTTTCTCCAGCGCAGCCGCTCCTCGGACGAGGCGGCGGTCAGGTGAGCGGTACCCGGTGTTAGTGCTCGGCCCTGAGCGTCCCGGGCAGGCTGGAGCTGTGACCGCAATGGGGAACGGGGTGAGCTCCGCTGGGAGAAGGGTGGCTTAATCTGCGGTGTAACTTGTATGGAGGAGTGCGGTGGATAGCAGGGACTCGTCTGTCCCCGAAGTGGCCACTGGGGCTGGCAGGCGGCCCCAGGCGGGAGGCGCCGGGACCCCGCCGAGCAACCCCGCACTGGGCAGCGTGAGGGGCTTTTGCGCCTTTAATCACGTCTTTAGCGAGCCCCGCGGGCTGGGCAGGCGCTGGGTGCGGGGTGGGACCGGGAGTGTCAGTCCGCAGCACTTCAGGTGTTCGTGTTGTAGTTAAACATCGCTGTGTACCAGTGGGTGTGTGTATTCATTTGCTGCTGTAGTTATTCTGGTGACGGGGATGTCACTAGCAAACGGACAAGCTTGTTTTGTAGATGTCACTCTTACTCCTATTTCTGTTTTCCTTTTTAAAAGTGTTTTTAATTTCAGCCACCAATTTTATACCTCCTGAAATACTTTAATTTCCCAGAGCAGTTGGCTTCTCACCACTGGCACTTATACCTTTTTGAGTGGGAGATCTTGATTTTCTTTCTTTAAACCAGAGCTCTAACAGTACCCACTCCTTTCACTGAGGCATGTGTGATTTTCTGCCCCCAGCAACTTCACTGTGACAAAAAAAACAAACAGCTGGAAATAATCACTTAAAGAGATGCGACTTCCCCTGTTTCAACAAGTTGCTTTATTCTCTGCTCCAGTAATTTCCTCCAAGAGTGGCGTTCATTGTCGTTCAGTATGTTAATGTCGTTAATGATGTGGTGAGATACATGATGTTAAACCTGCAGTCACCGGGGATTAATGCACGGGCATGACATCACCAACAGCCAATGAAGTGATGGGTTTGGACACGTACTGACCCAAACTGTCTTCCAAACTGATGTGTTGATCCTGACGTATTCCTAAGGAATAACAGAAGTTTGGGAAACTGGTGTGGTTTCCTAGCATGGCTCCATTGTGTTCCTTAGTCTTGTGCCCCTGTAGGCATGGTTCATTAAATAACCACACGTGTGTGGTGAGTCCGGTTGATCAAAGGTTTCACTTCTTAGGAAGAGATTAGTGAAAACGGACATGCTAGTGTAGGGAAAGATGATGTGACTGAGCCGGCTGCTGGCAGAATATAAACAGCCAAAGAGTTCTCAGCCCTTGTGGCAGGAAAGCTGCGTGAACAATGTGTTTGAGCACACAGTGGATTTACCTGTAGTAAATTGCCTCCTTTGCCTTATTGCTTGGAGAGGAGCTGCTCACGTGGCGGTAGGCACAGGATCTGTATCAGGGGAGTGAGAAGGGAACCGTGCAGCCAGGTGGATGCTGTGTAGCTGGAGAGGCAGGAACACGTATTCCCCCACTGTGCTAATGGCTCCTGGTCTGTTCTTGCTTTCACCCCAGGACCTCAGTGCCTGTGTGCTGCCAAGGTCGAGCAGGTTTGAAGCCCTTGGTCTCAGTTCCTGTTACATTGCTGTAGGGTTGCTCAAAAATTCAGCTGTCTTGGGTAGCTTTTGCAGAATCACAACAGATGTTGCCAAGCGCGGTCTGACTCCCAAAATGTGCAGTTCTGAGTTCAGGCTGCCCCTCCTCTCTAATGTTTCCTTTACCTTCATCATTTTGCAGCAGACTCATTCAAGCCTCCCATAGGTCAGCTGGGGGCTTCCCTGCAGGCTCTGTGCCACCCTTTGTGTCACTATCACAAATATTCACACACAAACCACTTATGTTAGTTTAACCACTTTGTCTTTGCTGGAGTTCTCAGTGGGTGTAAATTCTGGGGTCCAGAGTTCATCTCTGAAGTCTTTTAATGTTTTTGCTGTAATTTCTATATATGTACATGCATGCACTTCCCTTACCAGCGCCATTTATGTAGCCAGTTGCATCAAGGGAACCACAGAATATTAGCAGTACAACGATGTGCCTCAGAGGTGCATATGATTCTTACGCCTTCGATGCCAATAAGATGTGACAGAATACATCTAATGAATTACCTTTAAATTAGAAAGCAGTAAACAAGCCATTATTGGATTAGAGGAATATTAAAATTAGAAGAACTTTACCATCTTTTGATATCCTGTGGCACATTTTTACTAGCTAGGAAATGACACAGGTTACTGCAGAGAGAGAGAGAGGGTCTCTAGGGAACTGTAATGATTTTCATCTGTGTGAAATAGATTTTTTTAAATGCTATTACTTAGTAGCTTATGTTTAGATGATGCTGTAGCAGCTTGCTTTTTTTTTTTGCTGTCCTGTCTCACATTGATGTTTGCTATCCTTTTTCTGAGTGACTTCGGTGCTTGTGGAAGGTACAGGTTTGATGTACTCTGATAGATAAAAGCTCCTAATTATTGAAGAAAAACACAGGCAAAAAGATACAAGAGCCTCAGTAATAGATTTTAGTCCAGTACTGAAGAGCTTTCTGTCCTGTCAGGGTGCAGATATAGTCATGCCAATTATTCCATGGCCCCTTTCCACAGCTGCCTAGAAGGTTGCTCCTGCTCTGGTAATTCTGGGCTATGATTTAAACTGCTTAGAAAGATTCCCATTGACTTCACTGAGATTTATATTAAATATTCTGAAGAACTGGATTAAATGAACCAGTTCTGGTCATACACCTCACCGTGCAGGCATTACCTGGTACTGCCATGCAGATGTGACTGCTCTGGATTAGATCTGAATGGGCAACTGGTTGATGATACTTGTGTGGAGCAGCTCCTGATCTCCCCATGCCAATCTTTTATTAATCTAAAGCTACCCCATGCTGTCTTTCCTCAAGCAAGATGCCCAGTTAAGGACCTGGCTTTGAGTGAAAAGGGCAGAATTTGGTCAGTGCCTCTCAAGTGTTAAAAAATATCTACACTTAAGAGGCAAGCAGTGAAATGGCTGGAAAATTGAAATTGATGGAAAGCAGCTAATTCTCAGCTTCATGTAAAATAAAGTTGATTATGCAATCATGAAATTACTGTGTTCTTGCAATGCCACCAAGACCTGTTGGCCAATGAAAAATTAAGCTCTTAATACAGAACTAAACTTGAATTTGTGAGTGCAAAAGATTGTGTTGTTTGGAGTTTCAATCTTTAATAATGGTCTAAGACAAATGTTTTGCTCTTTTGAACTCGCTATCAGTATGGATAAGGAGTAAGAAGGGCTAAGCCTCATTCCAGTCTCCTGAGGAAGGTCTTGAGGATACAGTTTTGTCCTGGGTTTCAGAAGCATATTCAGAATAAAGAGCTCTCCTATATATACTTTTCATCCAGGGGATGAGATTTTCCTTGTCTCACAGTTTACGGCCCTGGGACTTCGTGCCCCCTCTCAAGGTTTAGTAGTAGAATTCCTTTAGCAGCCTTTATTCCCTTTGAAGAATTTGATAACCACCATGCAAGTGGTTGTTTTGAAGCCAGTGCCAACCCTGCAGATCAGAAGATCGCAGCGCACTTTCACCTGAGGTTAGGCAGGGCGATCTAAGCTGCTTTGCAGTGGCAAAGCATCCCGACTCGTTGCAAGTCTTGGGGATTTCTATCGGCCTCTGTCACTGAAGCCTCTTTGCTATTCTAAAGATGTTTCTAAGGAGGAACAAAGGCCTGTGGGTTCCACCAGTTTTGCTTTATTTTATATTTTCCAGCAATTATTTTGGAAAGGCTGTGAGCTGAAAAGCAGATTCTCTCAGACTTGGTAGCACTACGCCAGAGTAAAGCTCAAATGAAGGAAAGCAGTATTGGGATCTTGGTGACTCAAAAGGTGACCTGTTGTTTTTATTGTCCCTTCAGCTGTGTTTCAATTTCAGTTACTCTTTACAGGGAACATCTGTGGAATAAAACTCTGGTGGGGTCAGGCCTCAGAGGCTGTTTCCCTCTGCACAACGTCAGTACAAGTTTTCTCCCTCCTTCTATAACAACAGCTTTGTTGCGAGTGCTGTGAGATATAACAAGCAAGGATAAATATATTAAAGGGCAGCAATCCCAGCCTTGGTGTTACACGATAGTAAAAGTCTGGTTTAAAGAACTCAGTCCCTAGTCATTGATGCAGAGCTCTTGCCCCATTCTATCCTCTAATCAGCCAATGCAAAGCATGACTCAATCATACATTACATCCTTCTGATCTGAAGGACACTCTCTAATTGGAACCAGGCTGGACTTGCTGGTTCTGTAAGCAACTAACCCTTTAAAATAAGAGTGCTCTGATGCTTTAGCTATTAAAGCATTCATAGGCTTGTTTTTCAAGAAGCTGCTCACTAAACCAGAAGCATGTGAGTAATGCCTGGGCATGGATAAATGAGTTAACATGAGTTCTTCTAGCTTTTTAGAATAAATGGCAAATCTCTGGTTCATATTTACATAATTCAGGTTATTAATTCGTGTGTTTGCATTTCCTAAGCTGTGTGCCAAATTCCAATCTGGTGTAGGTTTCAGAGTGTTAATCTCAGTATAAAGGGGAAAAGGAGAAAATGTAGCTGTTGTAGGAAGCGTTGAATAGTCAGTGATTTTTTCCCTTCCACAAAATTAAACAAGGAACTGCTTTTCTGAATCATTTCAGTGTCACCTCAGGTATTCAGAGAGAAATTTGGAAGTTATTAATTGATAGGGTGCCCAGTCTTTCATATGTGCATCTCTGGGATTTATATATATTGCAAGTTAATAAAGCTTCCAGCATACATTCTGTGCATGTGTAATTAAGGAGTGACTATACTTTGATGTGTTTTGTTATGTTATCTAGATTCCAGCTGTGGGGATGATGGTATTTTATGTTGTCATATACAAGCAGGAACATCCCTGCACGACTGAATCTGTTTGAAGGACCAGACTGTGGCTGTTTTAGTCTAGAGAACATAGTTATTCTCAGATTTCTTTGCTGCTTCCATAATTCAATGAGAATTATGTGTGTTTACGATAGCCTGATCAGCAAATAGAAGTGTGCTGCAGATGTAGATATA